TATATATATATATATATATATTTTTTTTTTTTCCCCACCCAAGCTTTTATTAGGTATCCAGTTCCATCTCTTAAAAGAAGGCACCTCTCACTGACACAGAATCGAGCAGCAGGATTTGTTTCAGTGGGTGTTCCAGGCATTTTATACAAATAAAGACTGAACTGCTTTCTACCAAAAGTCTTGGACCCATTCAGCTTCTAGATCACCATGAAAAGTGCCACCATCTTACCTTTCTTCCAAGTACGAAATCTAAGAGTCACCTGGATCCCACTCCTCTTCTCTCCTTACATCCAGCTGTAACAAAATCTCCTCTCCTCATGCATTTCTCAAATTAATCCTTTCTGCTCCTCACATGTCTATGCCTGACCTTGTGCCTACTGCGTGTTACTGCTGTAATTTTCTCCCAACTTCTAGCTCAAAGCCCCCCTTCCTTATTATTTCCAAATGGCACTATTAAAAAAGCACCAGTTTATCTAAACATTATCCAAATTCTAACATTTTCTATAACCTTTTATTAGGTCTGAGCTCTTCATTTGTACCTCAATCCTCTGTGCTCTGCTGCTTCAGTAGTGAGTCCCCCTCTATGATATCTCACACTTAGGTTTTCCCATGTCTCACCTCACATATATGGTGTTTGTAACTTCCTAATTTTATCTACATCTTTTTACCTACTTTCCTTCAAAATTCAACACAAGTTTGAGGGGAGATTCATCTGCCCATCTTCAATCTACCAGGGTACTAATCGTAAGGATGCCAAGAATGGGATCGGTACAAAGGGACTGAAAAGACAGAATCTATGGCTTGGAGAGAACTGAAGATGACTCCATAGACAGAGGGATGGAACTGGGCAAGGGGTAGGGTATATAGGAGAGAAAGATCTGAAAGGGCCCAGAGACAGAAGGGAATGGGATCAGTTCGACTTAGAAGATTTATCCTTAAAATGACATATAGCTAAAGGTCATCAACCTATATCAATAGGAAGAAAGGATGAGGGGTAAAGCTACCGAGATTTTTGGAAGAAAAAGGGCAGAAGAAGCTAAGTTACATGGTCCCGCTCTCAATACAAGC